GGCTGCCACGTGACGTGGACTTCCCCACGCCGGCCGGTGCGCCCGAGCCGGGATCCCGCCATCCGCGTGGCTAGGGGCTTTGGCACCGCCAAGGGGCAGCGTGGACTGGGTCTGAGTGCCCCACGCCGAACAGCATTGCACGGGTGTCCTCGTCGATGCCCGCTAGAGCTTCACAGTCGCCTGTAGGGCATCGTTTTGCCTCTGACTTGCTAAAGGAAAGACTTTCAAAAGTCCTGGACAACTAGGGTAGGATTTAGTTGGAAGTACTGTTGGCTTCGTTTCGCTCTGCTTGTGGCCGCTCGGGGAAGGGACCAGGTGGAAGTAACAGTATTTGGCTGCTGGGCACTTTTGCCCTCCAGCCGGGCTGCCTAGGAAACCAACAAGGACTCGCACCTGATCAGACGAGTCTGTAGAGGTTTCAGCCACTTGATCCCCTTTCATATTCTGACAGTTGTCATAGTTGAAGGTGATAAATACCTGGAATTCACAATAGCCCTTGTTTTACAGGATGAAGATGAATGGAAAGATTTTGAGCAAAAAGAGGTTGATTACAGCGGCCTTCGAGTTCAAGCAATGCAAATCAGGTATGGATGGTTTAGGTGACCTTATGAAGGTAACCTTTAAGTAGGATTCCACGGTGGAGGTGGGAAAGGGATGGGAGCTCACTCCGGAGGAGAATGGTACAGCCTGCAGCCTTGGAAACCCTAAGGGGCAGTTCTGCCCTGCCTTACAGACTGGCTATGTGGACAGTGGGGTTTTGTGTTTTAGTATGGGCTTGGTTTTTCCTTAGCTATACTGAATAGCCATCTTAAGTGGGGTCCTAGTGGTGTAGTAGTGCCCACAGTTGGAAACCACTGCCCCCTCATCTGGAGGAAGATATTAATCTGTTTCTCTTCTCTGTGGTAATAGAGGAATTGTTTCTGCTCTTCCAACTAGCTGCCTACTCCAGTCTTCTAGCCTCCCTGGCGGTAATCCCAACTGTGGCTCCGGGTAAATGTTAACTGTCAGAAGAAGTTTATCATACCTGGAATGTCTACTAGAGAGATTAAAAATGAGTAATTTCTTAAAAATTACAGGACTACGATATAAAACAACGAATTTTACGCAAAACAATGTACCGCTTTGGGTACAAAATTACTGATATAATTAGACCGCCAGGGAGGCTAGACAAGGTTAGGTCTTTATTTGAGACAGCTAAAATGGACTTTGACTTTTAGAATTTTTTTTTACTTTGTTTTTTTGTTGGGTTGGGCTTGTTTTTTTTTGGTTTAAAAAAAAAATTAAGGTGGACATTTTCCCACATTCTTCCCAATTAAGTTAATGAGTATTTTTTTGCTGCCGAGGTAGCATGACTCAGAAAGGTGCAGATTTTGTGGGCTTCAGTGAATAGACTGGAGCCCTCAGCTCCCAGTTGGTGGGGCTGCCTACGTCCTCTCTACCACCTGCCAGCTCATCGCCATTACTCAGAGGAAGCCCAGCCCTGACACCCAGGGTTTCCTAATGCTGAGGTTTATGGCAACAGAAGCATGTTGCTTTTAAAATTCAAGGAAGCTGTCATTTCTAAAGTGTCAGATTGTTTGGTTTAAAGGAGACTTCGGGACCTGTTCTTACCAAGTCCAATTTCTGAAAGTCAATTTTAGATTGAGGTATAAATAAATTCCGTTTGGGACCTTAGTAATGTAAGGAAAACATTGAAGATGAATAATCCCTTGTTCCCATTTTATAGAAGTTCGAACTATCTTGCTAAAATTATCCCTGGTTTATAGTTTGCGTGTGGTGTTAGTGGATAAACTCATTTCCAAAAATGAGTTTTGACTAGAAAACTGTCTTGCCCTATGCATGTAACTGCCTTCTGTACGTGCTTCCATAATTTAGTCAGAAGCGTGAACTGCTATTTCTGACACTGACACTGAATACACAGCTATGCATTGTGTCCTGGGTGTTTTCCCATACATTGTTTCAGTCCTTAGCCACAGTCGCGGGAAAACTAGGAGATGGGACTTCTGCTAATAATGGCCACGTGATTGGATTGGAGTCTTCTGTCCAACCATTTGTGGACTGGCTTGCCTTTTCAGATCTTGGGGAGGGCAGTCTAGAAACTTGCCCTGTTATCTTTCTCTTGGGGAAACTGGAACTGGAATAGGCCAGTGGTGTGAGATTTTTACCATTTGGAGTTAATGTGTATGTGTCTGTTACCTGTTCTGTTGCAAAGGAAGGCTTTTTGAGGTCGGCCTTCCTCCCTCCTGGCCCTGAACTGGCTTCTTCCAAACATGAATTAACAGGAAGATGAGGGCTTGGCTTTGCACTTAACTATACAGAAGTCGTACTTTGAGAGGAACAGGGTTCAAGTTCACTGAATGCTAGCAATTCATTTTGTTGAATTACAGGTAATACTGAAACTGAGCTTGTTTTTCTATCCCATGTTTGGGATTATGTTCTTTACTGTAACTATCAAATAGTTCTGATATGAATGAAATAATTCATAAATAACATTTTTGTCAGCTTTCCCAGAGGCCTTCATAACCTTAGCTAGTAGGAGCGTATATTGTGGTTGACCAGTGCATGGGTTTGGATTTGTGGCAGGTCCAATCCCATGGGCCTCTCACAGTGTCCCATGCCAAAGCAAACTGTCCCCCCGAACCATTGCCTGGCTTTACCTGGTAGGCTTAAGGCACTGAAGTGGGTTGCACAGTAAAATAAAGTTCTGGTTGACCTGAAGTGTACACCAGCTTATTCTTCCAATCTAGTCACTATCTTCCGTCATCTTGTTTATGAAGGGTGAAGCTCCCAAGAACATGGAAATGCTAAACTGGTACCAACAACAAAGAGAACAGGTGGGGAGGTTCTACCTGGTGCGTGGGACAGGCAGGAAGTGGAACATTCATCTCTAGGGAGGCCTGAGCTGCATAGAACTTGACCCAGGAACTAAACTCTGGTCACTGGGTGGGAACAGGCTCACCTTTGATTTTGATGTCACGACAATGTTCAAATACTGCCTCCAATGCCAAACCGATTTCCCACAACTGTGGGAAAGAAGCCCCAGGCGTTTCTGAAGAATATCCCCCACCCCAGAAGCCCAAGGCACTTGGGGAATTTTTTGTTGTATTGCAGATAAAAGAACAGCTAAACCATCCATATTTGTTGTTCCTGGGGGCTGGCCACCTTGCCATCCTGAATGACACACTCACTCTCCAGACCAGTAAGTTCACGGCCAACCAACTACTAAAGTAAAAACAAATGGTCGCTGATGGCCCTGCACCCTGGGAAAGTGGCAGTGCCAAGACAAAAATTCATGAAAAAGTAGCCAAAATGTACAGGACTATACCAGGTGCCGTGTTTGTGTTTTTATTTAGAACCCATTTTGGTGGTGGCAAAACTTTCGGCTTCATGATTTACAGTTGTTTGGGTTATGCAAATGAACCTAAACACAGACTTGCAAGATGTGGCCATTTGATAGCTTTCAGGAAAAGGCAAGGATAAAAAAGCCAGCTGGCATTGTGTCTCTTTCACCGTATATGAAGACTAAGGACAGTGATGGTTCAGTGGTAGAGAGGGGTTTGGTTTTCGGCTCAAGTGGAGCCACTACTTGTGCTCAGTAGAGGCTTGCATGTTGTGCTGAACATGTTGTAGTGGAGCTTCTACACTAAAAGTAGGAAGGAAAGCCTGATGATCTTCAGAAAATCCACCTTTGAAAACTGGAACATAAGTCATCCCATTGTCTGTGTATTTTCTGGGGGAAGGGGAGAGGCTGGCTTGAGGGCAGTTAAAAGGCTGAATTGTTTCCGTTAAATTTTGTGGGGTTTTTTGACAGTTAATTCTGTGTCATCAGGATAGAGGCCCTCCTTAATGTTCATAGGAGCAGAGGGTAGATTACCCACAAAAATGGAGTGGACCTGATAATGTTGGGAAGTCATAGACTTGGAGAAAGGTAAGCTTGGATTTGTGTTTTAGCTCTTCTGCTTAGGTCTTGCCCGACCACAGACAGGTCCTTTGGTTTGGTTTTTTTGTTGTTCCTGAAACTAGATAAAGTAAAAGATAACCAATTCCAACATTTTATACATTGGCAATTTAGTGGTACTGGTTACATTCCAGTTGTACAACCATTTTCAGCCTTCTTTTCTGAGTTTCTCACTAACAAATTCACTGCCTCTTAAAGTTCCCATCTAATCCTACCAAGTGGCTGTTGTCAACTTGATCCCATAGATCCCATTGCTCAAGGCCAGCGTTTTTTACTGGTTAAGCTAAACTACTGTTTGGTTTTAAGGTAACTTAAAGGGATATTTTGGTTTGAGACTTAAAGATTCCAGCCATCATTTCAGGAGTTAGCGGGTCCTCTATGATTATAGAAAGTCTGGGATTAATAAGAATTTATAATTTTGTTCTCAGGACTCTTCTCTGCACTCTTTGATCAAAAGCTAAGTAATGGCAACCAGGCACCATCTAATTCTTCTGGTTTCATGACAAAGGGGGCAATTGTTATTGGAGACAATTAGCCAGACATTCCATATCCTCTTATTTCCGAATTCTGTTAACGCTGTTGCTCTGGGTAACTAGAGACCAGTGGTAGTGCCCTGGATGGCTGCTGGCAAGCCTTTAAGACCCCAGGCACTACACAATAAACTAGGTGGTGGGACAGATGTACTTAACACATTTTTAGTCCTTAACTTGGATGGCCTATCCATCCAACAATGGCCCTAGACCTCCAAACCAGGGCACCATGTCCTATGAAGGGTTTGGTGCACACAGACAACCTTATCAACTATTTATTTTTTGTCATTGTAAACATACCCTAAAAAAGTAGAACCAAAACTCACTGCCATCAAGTTGATTGACACTCCTAGCAAGCAACCTTGTATAAGGTTTCTGAGGCGGTAAATTTTTATAGGGGCAGACAGACAGCCTCACTTTTCTCAGGAAAGCAGGTAACACTCCAGCACTTACTGGATAGTGCCACCAGGGGGGGATTCCTCTACAGTGGGGCTTCAAATAACTGCCAATTGGTTTTCCATAATGGCTATAACATTTTGTGGTTCCAACCTGTTGTGGGTAAGAGTTCAATTTTTCCACGTCCTTGCCAGCATTTTTATTTTGTTTGTCCTTGTCATTTTGACTGTTTTATCTTAGCCATCCTAGTGGGAGTGAGACTGGACTGAGTCAGTGCACTGAAAAATCTCATGTCTACCTTAGCATTGGTTTAACCATGCCAACAGAAACCCCTCTCAGCATTTAAATATTGCTAAAGTTTCTAAATCTTCTGCAGTTTAGGGCCAGAGGGGAAGCAGATTGGGGGACAGGTGGGGGGAGAGCCTCACCTTTGCTTTTTCACTGTAGGTTAGGAACGGAAACGTTGGAAGTTGCCTGGAAAGAACTTGAAATTGCCAGCCTGGGTCCTTAATTTTTTTTCTCCTAACGGTTGGTTTGGAAAGATTACAAATGTTAGAAATGCTATAGGAATAGTACAATAAGGAGTGCTGCATCATACCCAAATTCGCCAACTGCTTTACCTTTTTCTCCATGTGTAGTTGACCACCCACCACAGTAGGAAATCTTGAAAACTTTTGACTCCTCACAAACCTTACTACTACTCTCTCATAAGCCACTGTCAGCTGGAAGCCTTACAAGTTCTCGGTTAGCACATAATCTGTAATATATTGCACTCACATAAAAATCCCCTTAAACAGGGTTAAAAAAGATATTTCACAAAAGGTGCAAGGTTTGTACACGTGGCACAGCAACAGCAGTGGCTTAATGAAGTTTTCTTTTACATTTGTCCTTATTTATCTTGAGATGGCAGGCAACTTCAGCTACAGGCCTCGGTAGCACATAGCAAGCAGTTACACTGTTCCTAGTTAAATGCCACGACTTTTCGTTTCTTGGGAGCACTTCCAGCATCCTTAGTGGCACTTTGTATGGGCCTCATAGTGATACTCCAGGTTTGTGGCCTTACACTAAACACAGACACTGTGAGCATTATGTTAGAATCATGAGCAATCACTTTCTGCTGCCCCAAATGGAATTTTCTGGAGAAACAAACATTAATATGTTAATCGTGTTTGTTTTGAGTGTCAGTGGAATTAAACTTGAGGTGGAATCTAGTCTGGCAGTGAGCTTTTACAAATTTTGTTTTTGTTTTTAAATTACAAGGTTTTTTTAAAAAAAATCACTCACATAAGTGGTGGTATGTCCTCAAAGTATGAAATTCCTAGTAATTTAGTCATGTCATACAGTCCCTTTTTACATTGCCAACTGGAGAAAAATGGGTGCCCTTAGAAGATTTTTAAGATTCCGTATGGATGGGGGTGCGGGGGAGTTGGTGTCTGTGAAATCGGGACTGGAAGGTGGGTGCCTAATGATTTCCTATGGAAACTCGTACCAGCTGACTTTGTGGATGTGAGGAATAAGGTAGAGCATTGTGGTGGTAGTGACTGATGACACTTTCATCGTATTTTTTTCTGCTAGAGCTTTGGGCTGGTTTCTAAAATACTCAGAATTAACCGATGTTATAGTTCTTTGGCTCTCCGCAAAGTCAAGAAGAAAAATGTCTTGAGCATTCCCCCAGTTTTCATGACCTTTGTTTGCTCTTGACCATCCACTGTTGCTTTGACGGGACCACTTCCACCTTTTGGTGTAATCATTGATTGTGCTTTGTCTTCAGGGTCAAACTGGTAAAGCCATGTTTAATCATTTGTTGCAGTTCTTTCAAGAAGTGCTTCAGAATCTTGATCCCATATTTCGATTTAAAGCTCTGCTATCTGCAGCTGTCAGGGCACCATCCTCCTGATTGATGGTATTCATCAGGAGGAAAGTTTGCTCAGCTTTAATTTTTCAGTCAGAATTGTCTACACTGATGGTGCTGGCAATTGCTTCTTTGCAAATTCTTGATATGGATAGTCTGCCACATTGGGCTTCACCTTCAACATCATCTCCTTTTTTAAAAAGTTAACCCATTCGTGACTGATATTCGGAGGGCATTAGCCCATAAGCTTTTTGGCCCTTAGAGCCACTTCAAGTCTCAATTTTGAGATGACCTTTGGTTTGTGGGTGAGTCAAGACGATGCAGCCATTGTCTGTGAAATTTTTCTTTCTAAATATCTAAAGGAATGTGTCCTTTATAGTCTGGAGATGTGTTGTAATAGAAGTGAAAGGCTAGCTCCCTTAGATGCCACCTAATATTTTCTTCTGAAGCCAAGAGAGGCAATGATTTCCCAAGGTCAGAGTGAGAGGGTCACCTGGTAGAACCACAGCGCAGTGGTTCTCAACCTTCCTAATGCCGCGACCCTTTAATACAGTTCCTCATGTTGTGACCCCCAACCATGAAATTATTTTCATTGCTACGTCATAGCTCATTTTGCTACCATTAGGAATCGGGAGACCCCTGTGAAAGGGGCTTTCGACCCTCAGGTTTTGAACCGCTGACTTAGCAGAAGGAGACAATGTTAGAAGCCCAGGGGAGCTATGGAGGAGTCAGGGTCTTGTGCTTGGTGGGGAGAGTCAGCCATAGTGAAGGGGGTGGCGGGGTAGCTGGAGCCCTTGATTGTCCTGGGAATAAATGGTTCAGGACATGGCTGGCATTGTGTGTCAGTGAACTGACAAGGTCGGGAAAGGAAGTTGGATGTGATCTGTCAGTTGCTGGCTGAATGTCCCTGTTGTCAGACCAGCAGTGTACAGAAACAATCACTTTTACACAAAATAGGAATAATTCTGCCAAAAGAAAAATTAAAGAGTCTTGAAGGACTTCTATATTTTAATTCAAGAGCAAATACATAAAAGCTGCCATTTTTAAAGCCACTGCAGGTAGTGTTGAGGAGAGCAGGTTAGTTAGCACTCAGGGAATCCTTTGCATTTATAATCACTGTTAAGCAAGCCAAAGATAATTATTTCATTCGCTTCCCCTTTTATTGGGTGAAGAATGCCTGTCTTTGGGTGGTGTGGGGACCAGGTAGTGATATTTGTTCCTTCTGGGGAGCGGGAGAGCCTCGACATACTTAGCGTGCCATGTGGTGGGCACCATCGGGCATGGCTTGCCTCTCCTGTTAGGACGTGGACTAATTCCCATTTTGAGGGCTTTCCCTCAGGTCCGAACCTATTTGTACTCTTTGATCCTAGAAAAAGTCAAGTTGCTTTGAATTCTAGTCCCTTTGACTTCCTGGTGCAATTCACTCTTCTGCAATCATTTGAGCCAGTGGCTGGCATCTTGCTCTTCCTTTGGCCTGGTATAAATCATCAGGCAGATTGTCATAAATCAGCTTGCCAGGGTTCTAGTCTATTAGTTCTGTTCTGGAGTGTGTGGGGAGGCTCACCACTGGGGGCTGGGGTGGGGTTGCAAAGAGAAAGGAAGAAAAACACAAACGGTTTTGTAAAAACCTTTGCTGTTCTGACTACCCTATGAAGCCACACCATGTAAAGTAAAATCCCCTGGGCTCTAAGGATAAGTGCTGACCCACGGTCATATAGATGTGCATTGGCTGAACTAGAATTTGGACTATTTCCTTGGTGGTTCTTTAAGTGAACTCAGTTGTTTGCTTTTCCAACAGTGAAAAGGAAGAAGAAGATAGTGAAAAGAGAGACGATCCCAGTGATAACTGGGAAGAAGGTGGCGGCGGCGGAGGAGGTGGTGTAGAGAAATCTTCGGGTCCCTGGAATAAAACAGCTCCAGTACAAGCACCTCCTGCTCCAGTAATGGGTAATCTTCGTCATTTCTGTTTCAGAAGGAGGGGGGTCTCATTTGGGGGTAGAGTGGTCTGTACGGCCAGCTAGCTTTCTGTGCCGTGTCCACTGTGCAGTCGTGCTGCTTTCTCTGTACAGACTGAAATGGTAAAGAAAAGGAATTTGGAAGTTAACAATACAATTTCGTAAATAAAAACTTTTGGCTAATGGTGGAAAAAAAGACATTTGCATTTACTGGAATTCAAGATAATTTTCATTTGAGAGATTTGTAATTAACCAAGAACTAATGTAACACCACCAGTTTTCATAGGAAAGGGGATTCTTAGAGCTTCTACCATGGTAGAATAGTTTTGACAGCCAACTAAGGAATGAGACTTCATGTGTTCGCTAAACTGTTTTATTCTCATCCCTTTAAGGCAAGGAAGGATTCTCTGCAGGCCTGAAAGAAGGTGAAAATTGGCATGAGGGAAAGGAGAGGGTTAGTCTTCCATATTGTGGTGGTGTTTGATTCGCCAAGGGACTGAAGTATAGAAATAGACGTAGCTGTCTGTGGTGTAGAAATTCCAGGGAGAAGGGCTGAAGATTCTAAAGAAAATGATGTCTAAGAAAAGCATCTAAAGAGTCTGTAGGAGGGCTGTAATGGAAAAAGTTACAGAAACTGACATTCTGGTAACTATGCAGACAAATATAAAAATGCAGATCTTACTATGCAGAGCTCACTGATAACATCAACATGTTAATACTCATACATGCTCTCTAGCCTCTTATATTAACATATCCCCACCGCCCCCAATTGTTTAAATTTTTATCTTTTCTACTTTTCTGTCAGTGGTCATAATGGTTTCTGCATGGTTGAACCCAGCATTGAAGTCTCATTCCTCATCAGACTTGACTCCGCCCCCGCCAGCATCATTGGATCGTGTTGGACACCCTTGGAGACATGTTCTTTCCGGGTCTCCACGCTCTGGGCATTAGTGGATTCTCAGTCTCGCAGCCCTCTTACCTTCAAATGCTAGTCTGCTGTCCTCTGCAAGGCATGTCAAAAGTCAGAATTTGGGGCTGTCTTAGTCCTCCTCTCTCCTGTACCTTCAGCCACACCCTACATTCCCACCTTTTTACGTGCCAGTTCCTCATAGACCTCAGAAATGTGTGTCTTTGCTGCCTGCCCAGCATCTTAAATCCAGCATGTGCCACACAAAACAGCCTAACGGCCCCTCACACTACCTTTTAATAACATTTGTCTATGAGTTTTTTGAGTAATTGATAAATTCCCTTGGGTCTACTTTAAAAACAAATTCCTTCTACCTGTGATTAAGGAGCCTCGACAGTGTTGGGTTACACGCTACCCCTCTGGCCACAGGGTCAGTAGTTCAAACCCACCCTCTGCACTGTGGCTGCTCCCAGAAGGATCTCAACCCTGGAAACTGAGGAGTTCTACCCTGCTCTGTAGAGTAGCTGAGTTAAAATCTATAGCAGGGTTTTGGGTTTTATGACTGATTCATTCTCATAAAATTCTCATCCATTCTTGTGTGTTTGTCCTCTTAACTTCTTTCAGGTCTTTGCTCAGTTTTTACCTCAGTAGTGAGATTCTCCTCACCCACCTTCCTTGAAGTCGTCACACCCCTTTCATTACTGTCTTTCCACCTTGCTCCTAAGACAGACTTCATCACTGTAACATTTGATAGAGCACTTAACCACTTTGACTTTTTTCTTCTAGAATAGCAATATCCAACAGAACTTTTCTGCAGTGGAGAAACTGCTGTTCAGTCCCTCGGGTTGGACTTTTTAAAACGTGCCTAGTGTGACTGAGGGCTGCAATTTTAAAATGTAATAGATTTAGGGCAGTGGTTCTCAACCCTCCTAATGCAGCGGCCCTTTCATACAGTTCCTCAGGTTGTGGTGACCCCACCCCCAGCCATACAATTATTTTTATTGCTGCTTCATCACTGTCATTTTGCTACTGTTATGAATCAGGCAACCCCTGTGAAAGTGTTGTTCGACCCCCAGGGGTTGCGACCTACCGGTTGAGAACCGCTGCTCTAGGTAGTCATCTATAACTCCAGGCTTCATCGGAGTCACGCGGGTGGGGGTTGGGTTTTCTTGACAGTCTATCTTCCAGCTTCTGACTTAGTGAACGGTATCTAACTAGGACTTAGCATGCATTTGACAGGTGTTTGGTTTATGACAAATGATAAGTTTTGCCCTATATGATTAAAAGTGATTGGAACCAGCCCTGGTGACAGAGTGGTTCCATGCTGACCGCTCCCTGGACAATCAGCTATTTGAACCCATCAGTGCTCCTGTGTGTCTCCTCGCATAGAGATTACCACCTTGGAAACGCTGGGGGCGCTCTAGTCTGTCTTGAAGGAAAGGGCCTCTGGTTGAGTGTGAATCGACCAGACAGCACTCTGTTAAATACATAACTGATATTCATGACTGCATTGTATTGTAGTGATTAAATTGATGTAAATGCTTACTTTGAAATAAGTGTACATTTTCATAAGTGGACAACTGTAAGCCTATTTTAAGGATGAGAAAAAGGCTGAGAGGCTTTGTCTCTAAAATGGTAGCCACGGTAGAAGACGTGGTATTTTTTGTGTGTGTGTTTTCCTGACTCAGAGACCTGTTTTTGATTTGACTTTTTTCTTTTATAATTGCTGAATAGTTGACAATGCAAAAGTACTTTATTAAAATGCCCAGTATTTAAGTGGTCTCTCTAAATGGTTGTAAAATATTAGTTACAGAAACCCCAGAGCCTGCGATGAGTAGTGGTGTGTATAGGCCCCCTGGGGCCAGGCTGACCACAACCAGGAAAACACCACAAGGACCACCAGAAATATACAGCGACACACAGTTCCCCTCCCTGCAGTCCACTGCCAAGCATGTAGAAAGCCGGAAGTAAGTATCGTAATTGTTGCATTTCGTGTGAGACCTCTCTCTTCTCTTGGCCTCAGTGAGTGAGAGGTAGGGGCTGGGAATCCCACCCGAGGACAGGCAACTAAGAACTAAGACGGGACCCTAGGATGTGCCCGGGAGGGAGGACTTGGCAGGGGCATACAGACTTGTCTGCAGATTCTCTTACACCTGGCTTTGGTAAACTCTCTTGCTTACAGTGTTTCACAGTTCCAATAAATGTGAGTAGATAGGAGATGTTGGCTTTTATAAAATGTGCCATCAAAATCTGATTTCAGCAGGTACTTAAGAAATGAATACCACCGGCCGTTAAATGACCACATACGGCACATCCACATCTTATTTAAGGGCGCAGATTTTTAAAAATAAATAAAAAGGGAAGAAAAGCAAATCATTTCAGATGGAAATACCCTTTTGGGTGGCTTTGAAAGTATATCCTAGTCTTTGTTTCTGGTGGAGAGCCCAGTGGTGTGAGTTTAAGTCTCTAGCTGCCGTGTGAAAGGTGGGAGGTTAGTCACTCACCACACTGGGCTGATCAGATTGGGCCCACTCTCACAAACTCGTAAGTGAGGAGAGATTGTGTGATGAGTAGAGCTTTGGTTGGCTAAGACTATGGTTACCTTTTGGTCATCAGAAAGATAGTAAAGGTGCAAGTCTGAGTTGGAAGCAGTTACTGTGTCATGAGACAGCTATTCAACTCTCCAGGTGAAATTACTCAATAGACTTGCTGCCATAAAAATTAGACCTTACAGCTTCATCAGTATTCCATGCTTTACCCTCAGTTGAAGCCTTGAATGGTTTTATAAGGACTTTGTGTCCCACTTGGCCCTTCTTTCCCTCCTCTAAGACTCTTGTAAGGGGTGGCTTTTCTTTTTCTCCTTTCCCCTTCAAGAAGAGTATTTGCTACACAACCTAGTGAAGAAGATAATATTTACTGATTACATTTCTTTTCCCATAGGGATAAAGAAATGGAGAAGAGCTTTGAAGTAGTAAGGCACAAAAATAGAGGTAGGGATGAGGTTTCAAAAAACCAGGCCCTTAAACTTCAGCTAGACAACCAGTATGCTGTGCTCGAAAATCAGAAAAGCAACCACACACAGTACAATTAAGGGATGCTCTTTGCTAACCCTACTAAAAGGTAACTAGACTGCAGCTACCCGCCATGAACAGACACTCAGCCTCTGATCTCTGCTGGATGGACAGCAACCGATGCAGACCGCTCATAGACATGCTCGCCCGTGGCACTGTGGAAGTGTAAAGTGTTATCGCTGCTGCTTACGTGTATTTGGATTGGGGGAAATTCTCATGGTTAATAGAAATGCGTGAACTAGATTCAGCCATTTTCTTTCATATTTACTCTACAAAAACTACAGCCAGTGGTCATTTCAAAATCTTTTTATGTTCAGATACTGAGCCTTCGTAAGGGTTGACTACCTCAGATTTGCTGCACTCATTGTGGACTTCATGTGGATCACAACTTCTGGACAAGAAGGTTCTAGCTATTGTCGATGTGAAACTTGAAACCAGCTCTACTGGATTCCTACCAGAAATCTTGCAGAAAGTCAGCCATCTGGGTTCTGATCTGCTGTAAAAGATGAAGATTTAAGTGACCTTAATTACCCTGTCCTGTGCCCCCTTAAGGAATACTTGCTGTAGTAGCTGTGGCTAGGTTAGACTTCTTGGAACATGCCGCTCTCAAAAGAACTGATGTGTTCAGATACTCGGGACTGTGATTTATAATTTAAAGTTGTATTCTGAGGTAACCGCAAATTTAAAACAGATTCCACCTAGTGGGGAGAGGGTGGGAGGGAATCCTCTTGTTTCGTGTAGTAGTTTTTTAGTTGACTAGGGCTTTTTCTATGTTCTACAAATAAGGCTTTTTTTTTTTTTTTGTACACAATACAGACTACTGAATACTGTAAGATTTCTTTCAAGTTTTTTTTTTTTTTTTTTTTGCTTTTGATGTTAGTTTTTTTTTGGACAGCTTATTGTTTGGTTCAGCAACCCGGAATATGCATTAGGATTGTGAAGTGTCTTGTGACTTTGCCAACCTCTAGAGTGGAACCAGAAAGCCTTTGGTGTTAATGACCGTGGGTGCTGGGGGGTTCTTTTCAGGTGCTGCTAAAGCCGCTAATCAGGTCTCAAAGCAATGTTAGCAGAACCTTGCCTCAAACCCATTTAAGTTTCATTAATCCTGTGTGATCTTGCTCAAGAAGTCCAGATATATACTTCTGTCCACCTGGTTCTGGACCATCTAGATGCAGCGGTTGTGCCAGCTAGTGCTGTTACCAACCGTTCAGTCTGTCTTTATGTTGTCCACGGGGGAGTCGGGCAAAGGACGAGTGGTACAGCCCTTCTGTTTTTAGTCATTGCAGCTTAAACATAGTCATTTTGAGCCCTTATGAGGGACTTGCAGAACCTACCCAGGGTTACTGAAAAGTTTTTCTTCTATGGAGCTGTTCTGATGAATTTTGTAGTTTTGTCTGTGGGTTCGGTAGAAATACTTCAGAGTGGGGTGTGACCACTTGATGCAGAGCCTGGGTTTCTCCACGAGTAATCCCATTGCCACATGCAGGAGTTGCAGACTTGCTACTGCAAGAGTGAAGCAGATGGGTGAGTAGAGCAGTCTGGGTAGGGAGCGTTTTCCCACGGGAGTTCAGGCTTGATGAAAGTGCAGGGTGGCACTCAGGAGGACTGTTACAGGGTCTCCTGACAGGAACAGGACGTGCCCCCCACTCCTGGCTAGTCACGGTGTACCTGCTTTCTGATGAGACTAGCTGAGCCAAGAGGAGCTTGATTCAAAGAGAAACAAGGGATTCGTGGTTAAACTGAAGAATTTATTTGGGAACCAGAAACCTTAACATTGGAAATTGGGTCACATTTCCCTGAACTGTGCATCTTTTCCAGCACGATCTTCCTGGGGTGCCACAGAGTGAACTGAGACGACCGTGAGGAAGTGTTATTTAATGGCGTACTAGGCGACAAACATGAAGGCCTGCAGCAGATTTAAAATTCCAACTCCTGTTAAACCTTTTAAAAGATGGAGAAATTATCAAAATGCACATGAATTGCGTTTTATAGACTATGATGGGTAGGTGAGGCTGTCCGTTGTCCCATTTCTTTCTTTGAATTCTCAGGCATGGTTTTGGCGATGCAAGAACTCTGTAACAGTAACAAATTCAATAAAAAGTAAATATATGAACTTTGGAGTTCCCGTTGTTTATTATAAAACCATGAAGTCCTGTATTTTTGAAGATGGTGAAATGGTGTCCTGCCTCCTTCCCCTGGGAGGCTGACCATGCCCACGCTGGGCGGGGCTGGGGGGTGGGGGTTGCTTTCAGTTGGAGAAGTCGGCAGAGCACTGCCCTGCCAGTGCTGAGGGCTGAAGGATGAAAAGTGGCAGAGGTGGTGTCCAGAGACACAGCGGGCATGGAAGTGTGCTAGTGTGCTGACTTCTCTATTACATTTTGTATTTTAAACGATGACATGATAGTATATGTACTCTGAAGGTGGAAGATTTTAGACACACACCCCCCAGAAAAACTTGTAAATTTCTCAAACTAGCCACCCCTTTAAAGGGTGAAAGCTGTGTGCAGTCTGCGGAAACGAGCACAGCACTACATTTCAGGATTTAGCCATGGGAGTCCTTACATTTCTGAGTGAAAGCACATCGCAAGACTTAAAACGGAACTTAAATGCTTAGTATACAACTTCAGTAGCTTTGACAATACTATTTATACCTCAGATAAACAAGTCCTTAAATTAGGCTAGTTTCTCTAAAGCAGCAGTTATCAAGCTGTGGGTCGTGACCCCTTTCGGTAGCAAAATTAGTTACGAAGGAGCCACGAAACAATTTTATGGTTGGGGGTCCCCACATGAGGCACTATTAGAGGGTCGCATCATTAGGAAGGTTGAGACCCCCTGCTCTAGAGGAGCAAGCCTGGTAAAGCATAAATAGATTGAGAAGTATTTGTTTCTAGGAAGTGGCTCGTGCAGTTAGTGGCTGGAAAGGGCTGAGGGCTGTGTGAAGTGATCCTGAAGTACAGGTGAGGTGACTGACTGCCGGCTCATTTCCTAAGGACGAGAGGTTGGACAATGACAAGTTAGGTGCAGGCTTGAGAGTGCTGGGGTGGGTGGAGCTTTCATAGTGTGCGTTTTCCCACAGGTGAGCATTGAGCAACTCAAGCATCAAGCTACACACGTGAGTGGGTGCACCCAGTGGTTGCCTGGAAAGGTTCTCAGGGCACTGACTTTTTTTGTAAAAGCAGTTTCACCTGAACCTCGACTTTGTGATGGCCAATTTAAGAGAATAGAATGTGGCTGTGAAATTTTGTTTCCTGCTCAGGAAAGATGCCGCAGAAACTTGTAATGCTGAACACAGTTTCCAAGGACAGCCCAAAGGGAAAACTGGTTCTCTCATTTCAAAAAGTGAGATGTGAGTAGACAAACCTCATTCAATAAGTTGTCAACTTACCAAATGGATAAAAATGTCAACAAAATTTGTGCATTTAAAAAAATCACTTCATTGGGGCTCTTACAGCTCTTCTAACATCCCATCCATCCATGTGTCAGCCACATTTGTACGTATGTTGCCATTATTTTCTAGACTTTTTCTTATATTTGAGCCCTTGCTATCAGCTCCGCTGTCCCACCCTCCTGGCCCCTTGGTAAATTATAAATTACTGTTTTCATATATTGCACCAACTGTTGTTTCCCTTCATCCACGTTTCTGTTGTTCATCCCTGGGAGAGGGTGCGTTCCCCCTCCTTCCCCTACCCTCCTGCTGTCGCTATTCCCATTTCTGTACCTGGGGTTTATCTGACCTAGATTCCATGGTAATCATAAAGGTCAGCGAACAGACCTGAAATTATGCATGTTCGATTTTTTGCTTTTTATTCAATCTTTTGTCTCTATTATTTTGCCTACCTCTATAAGATAGGCATGGGAAGCAAGCCAGAGGAGAAAGCAACAGACTGATAGTTCTGAGGGACCGGGGGTGGGGGGGCAGTGGGGGCCCGGGGGCGGAAGGAGTGGTGCGCAAACAAGGCCATAGGGGAACAACTAGGGAATTAAAATCAACAACGAGGAAATAGAGATCCTGGGGATGTTGGAGCAACAGCAATCTGAGGAAACTTAAGAGGCAGAAGAAGGGCAAGTGTGATGGTGGTGCAGGAGGAAGGTAAAAGGAAGCAAGATCTAGGAGGCAAAGGCTATAGATAGGGGTATAAAAAACTCAAAAAATAGAGGTATTGGCCTATGTACATTTGGTAATACACTGAGCAAGTGGACAGACTTTGGGCCTCTGCTCAAACCCTCCCACGCAAGAACACTTGGTTTTGACAGCTTGGTATTCAGTGATGCTTAAGCTTGCTGAAGACAAAATAGGTGCATATGCAAATGTGAAGAAAGCTGATGGAGCCTTGGCTATCAAAAGATAGAGTGTCTGGGGTCTTAAAGGCTTGAAGTAAAATAAGTGGCCATCTAGCTCAGAAGCAACAAAGCCCACATGGAAGAAACACACCAGCCTGTGAGATCATGAGGTGTTAGCGGAAATCAGGTAACAGGCTCCAGATGACTCAAAACAAAATTGAGAATGAGGGCGGTCCGAGCAGAGACCCAAAACCCATCTGTAGACAATGGGACATCCCCTCACAGAAGGGTCACAAACAATGGATGAGTCAATGGATGAGGGTGCAGAATAGCACCAGTGAAATACTATTCCTCTGGTTCTTTGAGGCTTCCTCACCCCTGACTCATGACCCCAGTCCTGCCTTTCAGTTCTGGCTAGACCAGAGCACGTCCAGATAGGCGCTCAGGACACATGGAATCTGGATCAGAAAAGCCCCTCGGCAGCAGAAATGGGAGTGAGATGTGTGCACTGTTGATGTGAGGGGATAATGCATTTGGGGTTCATTCCACCAGCTTTCTATTAATCAAGCTTTGTATGTAGAGCAGTGGTTCTCAACCCTCCTAATGCTGCAACCCTTTAATACAGTTCATGTTGTGGTGACCCCCAACCATCAAATTATTTTCGTTGCTACTGCATAACTGCCATTTTGCTGCTGTATCATAATGTAAATATCTGATATGCAGGATATATTTTCATTGTTACAAATTGAACATAATGAAAAAAAATTGAACATAATGAATATTTATTTCTAATTACAAGTAAATGAAATTTTGTCTTGAAGCATGGTACCGCATGGGTAACAGTCTTCACACCGGGTACTGGTATGTGGGTGTATCTGCCTGTGGGCAGACCAGACTGGAGAAGCGGTGTCTCGGTTCCTAAGACCATTTGAAATGTTTTCCGGTGGTCTTAGGCAACCCTTGTGAAAGGGTCATTCGACCCCCAAAGGGGTCACGACCCACAGGTTGAGAACCTGCTGATTTAGAGCTTCTGAAAAGATTGCCTAACAGTATGACCAAAAAAGGCCTGATTGTGGCAGATAGACTGATTTTGGCACCACTGCCATGCCATCTCATTCAGCCATCTCAGTGTATCACTACCTGGAAAAAAACAGCATGCCCCAAGCACCTGACCTCATGCAAATGAAGAGGGACATGGACAGTGAATAGATGACGTAGAAGAGGTGAAGAAAAAACCAGGGAGGTGCTGTCAGCCATCCAGCTATTTGAAAAATGTTCCAAGAATGGAATCGCAGATTTGACAGATGTATTTGAGTGTAATGGAGAGCACTTTGAAGATGATGTTTGTTC